GGCTCCTGAAAATACAGGTCTGTGGATTTTTGATGATATAACTATGCTTTGGATTAGTTTACTAGCACAGATTATGCCACTAGAAAGAATTAAGAAAATCTCTGAAATAAAATCACAAGGTAATTCTGTCTTAGAGGTAATATACTTGTATAAAAAGGTTGTGAAGGGAGAAAAAATTGGAAAAGTTTATAGGAACAAATTGTGTACTACCTAATGTCTCACTAGACTAAGGCCAGTCATGTAGTGTGTCCATGGAAACAACACATCTCTCATCTGCCTCTGGGACACTCTGAGAAATGCCAACTTTCTCCACCCCTGCTTTACCCAGGAAGCCACCTCGGCTAATCCCTGCCTGGCCAGGGGAAAGGCAAACACACAGGATCTCAGCAGTCTGTAAAGAATATTTCATTTATGGAGGCACTTAAAACCTGCAGAATCTCTGACCTAGACTAAAACTCAGACACTTCTCTCCTCTTAACTGTTCCCTCCTACTAATTTGTACTGGTTTCAATTTTTATACACTTTAAGGATAAAATTATAAGGCAAAATCACTAGAAGGACCAAGACAGAGAAACTCAATCTTCATTATGGAAGGGAAAATTTTTGTTTTACTCTAATATCTATTTAATTTCTATATTAAAATGTGTGTTGCCCATTCCTGGCTATGGAATGAAATAATCTTCACATAATTTATTCAACCTGATTTTGAGTGTCTAAAAAATCATTATTTCTGCTGTAAGGAATTTAGAAAATAAAAGTATATGCCTATAACTTGACAGAAGCAAGTGCCAGTCTTCCTGTTCCTCTAAAAACATAATAATAATAAAGATTAACAAGGAGAAAGTAAATGGAATGTGGGGCTTAAGCTCATCGGTTGAAAACTAAATTATGATGTCATTCACTTCTCATATCAGTAATTGTATTTTAAAATTAGTCAGAAGCATTCTCAAAGACTCAAAGAGGTTAAAGACAGAATTATGAAAGGACACAGAAACTACTGTTTAAAAGAAGATGTTTGAGTTTGGCGGCATCAATATGTATGCTAGTTTCCAAAATTACTTATTCTCATGCCGCCTTCTTCATTATCCATATACCAATTTATTCTTAACTAAATTAACAGCAAAGTATCCTTGAGCCCGAGGTTCAGCGTTTGACTATAACCAAAAACAGGGTTCCTTCATCTATTCAAATATTATCTTTCATCTTTTAAAAGTGTCTTGAGGATCTTTTAAAGTTAGTAGCTATTTTAACAAATTTTTATTTTTATATAAAAAAAGTTGTTAAAATAGATTATAGTTACTTGAAATTTACTTTTAATATTAGATTCAGTGGTAAAATTGTCACCTTCCATGTAGGAGACCACGGTTTGTAGAGGTGATGGTTACGTGCCGTGGAGTCGGTTCCGACTCATAGCGACCCTGTACAGTGTTTCCGAGGCTGTAAATCTTTACGGGAGCAGAAAGCCTCTTCTGTCTCCTGCAGAACAGCTGGTAGTTTCGAACTGCTGACCCTGAGGTTCGCAGCCCAATTCATAACCATTACGCTACCAGAGCTTTAGGATAAGCACTGAAACACAAGGTCAGTTTGAACTGCAAGATTAGTGGTTCAAACCTACCAGCTGTTCCTCAGAAAACCTACACAGAGTTGCTATGAGTTGGAATTGACTCGACAACCCTTAACAACAACAACAACAACAACAGACCTCACATATAGACACCTCCTGGTCAGGGGAGGCTTGTGTGTTATATATATATAAATATATAAAGCTATACAGGTTTCAGTGGGACTTCCAGACTGACAGATTCAGAAGAAAGCCTGGAGATCTCCTTCCAGCTAATCAGCCAGTGTAAGCCCTTTGGATCATAAAGGTCAGATTCCACTGTGCATGGGTCACCATGAGTCAGGAGCCAACTCAATGGCAGGCAATGTCTCCAACACACTCTGTAAAGAGTAAGGGAAAGGATAAATATATCACCAACAGAATTACTCCCACAGAGTTCCTCTCTGAAAGTGAACATGGTGTTCACTGAAGAACAAGTACAAACCTCCAGGTGAATTCTCTCAGAAGCAGAAGGGGCAATTTCCTAAGGATGAATAATATTTCATACAATCTTGATATCCTCTTCCACAAGGAACATATTATCTTATTACCTATGTTCCTACTGTGGCATTAGTAATACTGTTACTAAATAACAGCTTTAATGTGGCACTGCAGGATAAGCACTAGACTGTAAAGTCAGTTTGAACTATAAGATCAGAAGTTCCAACTCACCAGTCACGCCTCAGAAACCCTATACAGAATCACTATGAGTCCGAACCAACTCAATGGCGCTTAACAAAAACAAACAACATGAGGATGCTCAGACTAGAGCACTCCTAGATTTTAAACTGACAAGAGATCATAGAATCATAAGAATAATTTTATTTGTCAAGAATAGTACAGTTTGAGGGGCAAACTCAGAATTCTGAGAATTAGAATCAATTTTCTGAGAAGAGATCAAGATGGGGAGAAGGCAAGGTGAGAAGAAAGCTGACATTTTATTTATTTTGACCACTAGGAATATATGTTATAACTTCCTTTTCTCATTTATTTTATTCTACTAATGATTATTAAGCATCCTCTATGTGCCAAGGGGCCCTGGTATAGTGCTGTAGGATAAGCACTGGACTGCTAACTGCAAGGACAGTGGTTCAAACCCACCAGCTGCTCCTCAGAAACCCTATATAGGGTCATTATGAATCAGAACTGACTCAACAGCACAGAATAACAACAAGTACAAATGAAAGAAAGTTAAATAAGAAAAATCAGCAGTGGGGTTGGGAGTGGGTTGGAATTTTAAATAGGGTGGTCAGGGTAGGCCTCATAGAAGAGTGATATTTGAACATTTATTTGAAGGAAGGCAGCATCTATCAAAATTAGGTGACAATAATAGTCACAAGTACAAGCACCTGCCTAGAGCTGACTCTGTTTTGGAAAGGAGCCATAGAAAGTTCTGACACAGGAATTTGAGCAAGCGAGCCAGATTTGTCAGCCAAAGTTGCTCATGACAGAGAAAAATAAGGGGCTCTCACATTTCCCCATGTATGCTCCCTATTTCTTTCCACTCCTAAAGAATTTCTTCTTGACTTGTAAATACAGAAATGTAGGAGACAAAAAGCTCTTTCCATAAGTCAGAAATACATTCAATACAGAGACAGATATTGACACAATAACAT